TATGTCGGGCTTTTTATCACGTGATTTATCCACCAATCGAAATACGACTTATGCAATCTTAGCACTGTGCCAAACCAATGACGTTCGACCGGTATGAGAAGTCTAGCGTCCTTATTGGACCTATGTCCGCCTAGCCCGTCCACTTGAGTCCAGAATGCCAATACCAGCTTCCACTATGCAAACCGATTCGAATCTTTTTTCAAACATACTGGGTTTATATATCAACCAAACAGACCGCAACGCATCATAAAATAGGAAATAACATTTGTACACAATAAAGCCAAAAAGTGACCGTGGACGTGAGAGGCAATAGTCAATAAACTGAATATAGCTTGAGAACCGTAAATCGTACAATAATAAATTCTAGATCAAAATGAAGCTTATAATAAGAGGAATATAAATATACATAATCTAATTATTGAATAGTTATACCATAAGAATGTATAGATAATATTAGTCAATTAATATGTCTCAGAAGTTACTCATGATTTAATCTTCGCTCGGATATAACAGTCTATAGTAACTCAGCTATTAACTTGACTTCAAACCCAATGAATCTTTGTTTAATAGATAGTGTCACTCTTGGATTTGCGCAACTCATACCCGTCACTCAATACCTAGTTGTTGTAACTAGGCAACCAACTCTTTTATGTGAGGTGTTGTTGTTGTTGTTATGTACATATCGATCCCGTTTAGTCCTAATTTTTACTGCTTTTACTTGACTATCGGGAACAACTGCAATTTCCATAACTTAAAGTAGAAACACAAACGATTGATGCAATAAAGATTTATTGACTCCCTAAAACAACAACTCTAAACAAAGTCCCAAAATGAAATCCAGCAGCAATATTAGACCGAAATACAATCATTTATATACTTAATTTCACACACACCTAATAATATCACAGTTGCAGTAAACATACATACAAGTATAGTTCACCTGAATTAATACGAGGAATAAAATTGTCACACTAAACGACAGTTCACATTTGTAATATAGAACAAAGCTTATTCCTGATAAGTCTTCTAATTGAACGTTAGATTCGGTTTCCAAAACTCTTCTAGCAAACTTGAACACGAGAGAAAAAGCGTGAAATGTGGGAGAAACGCTTTATTACAAGAATCGTTTATGTACAGAAAATCTAGGGTATTTATAACATTTCAGATGGCCTTGGGCTTCCGGAAAATTCCGGAACGTCACTAAACATAGTAGCAATATACGTGATCACCCAATCAGAAATGCGACAAGTGACTTTTCATTTTCTAAATGTTTCTGGCAAAATTATTGAATGATAATTGGATAAGGTGTTTCTCAGTGTTTTCAGAGCCTTTTTTGAGGAACTTTCTGAATCTCCCCAACAATACCTAATCGACACAAGAAAATATTGGCTTCAAACTGTCACTACGAACGAAGTGTGCATCTGTCACCCAGGCGGTAATTCATAATGAATTGATACAAAAAAATATTGACCTAAATGGTGCCATCTTGTGATCCTGTCCAATTACTAATGAACACACACCGTTCGCATCAAAAAACTGTAGCGTGGTTAATCTGGAATGCGAACTATAATGTTGTAAACAAACAACTTAGCGATACGGTTTTCAAGATGGATTCCCTTACAAACTTATAACCAACACTTAATAATCTAAAAAGTCAATGAAAAGATAGATAAACAGTAGTTTTCGATGAATTTTGTATAGCCATTATGTATTGTGATCATCATATACTATTATCCGTAAGTATTCATCTTTACACCTGTTTTTATCGACTATACCAGCTTTGTTTGCCCACTAGAAAATTGAATGTTCAAGTTAATCCAGTCTGTGTAAACAACTTTATCAGACATTTTTATTCATTATTATTTGGTACATGAAAAATAGTTCGAAATTTTTCCTTAACATTCTTTTTAGATGAGTACACTACATGGTATGTTCACCGTACCAGATCTATACGATTAACAAGTAATAAGTAAATTACCATTTTAAAAAATTAGAATGAGACAGATGAGATAGGTAAAATATCCCTTATTTCTTAACTAAAAAGCTAGATATAAAGAAAAGGGAAGAGAAAGGGTAGTTTACTGGTTAGAAATTGTTCCATTTTACTTGTATATCCTTATTCAATCTTTCAGTTAATCTGAACAGTTTTGAAATATACAACCAGCGATTACTACTAACAGTAGTAGGATCAGTTGTTAATGCTAAACCAATGACTATTGTTTCACTAACATTTCATTTGCTTTTTGTGGTTGATTTACTGTATAATTTGATAATTAACTAATGTGATATTTGTACAGTACCTGCTTCTAAGTTATAGGTGTAATATTTACCTAGTGGTGTTGTGTCTTGTTATTGGAGTTCAGTACGGCCTACGATTTTATGGATTTAAGAACGAAAACGACCGAGCTTCTCTAATACGATCGGTTCTCTTCGGAACTGACAACAGTCAATTATGCTCAAAACATCAAGCCTCGATGGCTAAGACAATAAGAAAACAGAATTGCAGGTAACTTGATATTTTGATAGAACAAGGAACTCAAACGAAATTGGTACAAAAGTTGTTACTATAGTAGTAGAATATGACCTTAGAGCATATAGCAATTTAGAGAACTAAAAAATATGACTACTAATCAGAGGGTAAAGGTCATGCGGAAAATCGAATTGGTAGTAAGTATGTGAATGGTTATCGTTCCTGAAGAGATTATAGCCCTTCTAATAAAATCTAACTAGTCTTGAGACCGCCTTAGCAAGTGGTTATTAGCTACGTGCTCAAAAGTTCATGTTCAATGATAAATCTCAGAGATACAGTATCGTTATTTATATTTAAATCTTGATTTTGATTATTTTCTGTCAGCTGATAAATTTCTACGAAGAATCCTTCAGAAATGTCGCAGAAATCATAAAATTATCATTTACAGTTCATCTAACTTCAATCGATTTGTTAGCTAACTTTAATTTTACAGATCCATATTTTTCTCAATTAAGATGTAATATTCTTCGTTGTGATAAAGCAAACAAAATTCATTCAATCCTTTTGCCTAATTGATTTTACCTTAATGAAAATCAGTAAATAACACCGAACTCAATGTATCTTTCATCTAGTAAAGTTTTATATCAGTCACTATTGAAGGTGAATGAACATTGTTATCATTTAAAGCATTATTAATTGTGTTTCTTTAATCATAGCGTTAAATTGTTCAACATTTTCCACAATGATTGCTATTTGGTTGTGTTATCTGGAAACCTTAGCTTTATTTCAACATTATTTTCATTATAAATTCCACAAAGAAGTACAACCAAAATAGGAATTAAACCTAGAACATTTTTATTGTGGTTGTGTACATGTAAATTTGTTTGGCTATTCGAACAGTCATGTAATATGACCAATGAAAATCATATAACTTATGATGTAGTTGACTTTAGTAGTTATGACTTTTAATTACACTTCCAGGATTCTATTTTAAAGGCTAATTCAAATGTCGACTCTCAAGTGGTTCCTTAATTGGTAGCAGTCTACGACGAACAACACGTACAAATTAATCATATTTGGTAGTTATTTAGTCTTCTATTAACACTATAGTAAAACGGTATTCAGCATTTGAACATTAAATAGAAAAAGTATAGTAAAATACCCTGTCACAATTGATTAATATCCAATTATTAATCATTATTATACGGTAACATTGTTCACTTTGTAATGATTACCTCATTACTACAAGTTAATAAATCAATGTTGTACCATTTAATTTTATAAACCCCCAAATGCTCTGGTACGGCCGAGAGTGGGAAGAGTCCGCTCTCCCTCTCGAAATACTCTCACATGGCCACGCGTATATAGCCTCTGCCAGGGAAGTCCTACTCACTGCCTTCTCGCACCACGGGTGTTTTTTACGAAAATGAGAGGACGAAAAGCGAATGTCCGGCGCTTTAACCGGATCCCAAACCAAATCAATGGTGCACATGGGCTCCAGTATCCTGCGGGAACAAATGGCATACGAATCAATTGTTGGTCACCGGCTTCCATGGGACTGCATCTCCTGACGATGCTCCACTGCCTTGTGGATCAGACCTTCAGGTCGAAGGCTCGGCGAGTGGCCCCCTAAGAAAACCACCTGCTTCAGTTTGGGCACCCCGGCAGTATCACAGCCCTCACACACATCGGATGAGATTTGTGTGGTGCATATGTATTTGGTGCCTATTTGTACCAATATCTATGTGTTAAAATAATAGTAGATTAGTATATGGAATTTTTTTCTAATTTTTCAGTTAATTATCATACATAGTACAAGGTTGAGAAATAACAAATAAACTAATTACAATTAATATATGTGATTGCGTAATATGCTTCATTTTCAACAAGGATATCAGAGTTGTTCAAACATGATTAGATAAATAATCAATATTTAAAGAATGTATTACATAGGAACAATTTTTTTTTGTTTTATAACAAGTGATACAATTGAGCATGTAATAATAATAGTAATAATGACAATAATATAAATGTTGTAAAGATTATACTGAATACCTTCCAACGAATATATTAATATTTCCTAGACAAATTGTAGTCGCATTATATTTGCGACTAGAGATTTGTTTTGAAGGTAAATATACTCTATACTATATTATTATTATTATTATTATTATTATTATTATTATCACTACCAATGAAAATAAAGAAAAAAATAGGGTTATGATATTTATAATAATTGTGACGTAATATTAATTGCAATTACGTGACCAGTTTTTTTTATATCTTTCCTGTAAAATTAATTTTTTGTTGTTGAATGTATTCTTCAAGTTGTGATAAAAGACATTGAAAGGGACAGTAATAATAATAATAATAATAGTACAGTGTAATAAATAAAAAAAATTTAAAAAAAATCAACAAATGAACGTAGAAAAATTATTAATTCAGTAGTCTCTTGTAAATAATTATTGTTATGTATTGAATGTAACTGGGTACAGTTTTTACTATCACTATTATTATTATTATTATTATTATTATTATTATTATTATTATTAACAGTAGTAATAGTGACAAGAGTATTCATTAAAGGGAATTGTTTGGATAAGTATATTTGAGAAGCAAGTACAAATAGTATTTATTTGTTTAGACAATAGATAGATTAACCAAATTATATTTCAGTTACATATTAGTTCATAATAATACATACATTGGAAATGATAATTCACTAATGATGTGTATGGTTACTAACTAGTATTCTTACAGTTGTTAAAGTAAATATAAAAATAATTTACACTACATTTAAGTAATTTTATTATTACTATTTACTATAATCTTCATCATTTGTTTCAAAATTTATTGTTTCAATTAGTTGTTAATATCGATAAATTACAATTTTACTTATTGTAACTTGTTTGAATTACGCCGTGAATTAGATTTCCGTTGGTTACTATGATTATGTTGTTGTCTGTTAATGGAAGATTGATGTGATTTTGTATGATGTACACGAAAAGCTGTATATGATGAAAATTCTCGATCACAATCTGTACATGATACTAAATTGGAAGGTTGAAGACTCCGTTGTGATAATACTGATGATGATGATGCTGATTGCTCAGTAGTATCAGGTGAATTATAATTATTTATTGATAAATCTTCTGAATAGTTTATTGGTTGTTCTTGTTCTTGTTGGGGTTGATGATGGCGATAATGCTGTTGCAACAGTATGTTTGGAGTAGTAGGCATTGAACTGGTGGTTTTCATATTCCAGTCAATATTGGAAGGGACTGTTTCACTTAATGAATGACATCTCATCAAAGGTTTGATTAAGTTCACCGTTTCTGTTGTTGTTTCCGATAAAGATCTATTATATTTAGAATGTGCTGCGATTATATGTTCTTGTAATCCTTGAATATCTTGAAATACATGAGAATCTTGACGACAGATTGAACATTGAATGCCTGATGAGTTAGATTGATTATTTTGCCGAATACAATTATGTGATGTACTTGTGAGATCTGTAGGTTCTTCTGTTGATAATTCTAAACAATTTGATTGCATTGGTGGTGTTTCTATGGCAGACTTTTGTTGCATGTACAACAAATTACTATTATCATGAGTCTGGTCATTATTTATGGTTCTTCCTGGTGAACAGTTAGAATTGATAAAACTAGAAAGTAGACTGAATAACTGTTGATTTGATGTGGAATTGGGATTCATAAACACATTTGAATTAAATCCATGCGTTGGTAATAATGCAGTAAGTAACGCATTTGATGTTAATGATAATAATTGTTGACGTAATTCATCTGACTGATAGGCATGCATTAAAAATAATCGTACAATCTCTTGTATTTGTAAGCTATTTTCATTTTCTTGAGTCATATTACCAATATCATTAACACCATTGCCAATATTATCATTGATTGATGGTCTAGGTGATATTGTATCATAAGGTGAATTTGGACTTTTTAACTTCATGTTTTCTTCTAAACATTTGATACTACTATCAATTTTTGAAGTAGTCACACAATTATTATCAAACTTACAAGTTGATGATCGGGATTTCTTATTTGCTGATGGTCGGTGTTGTTCCACTTCATCTATATTATCTTTAACCTCATTAATATTTGCATCATTCTGATCTTTTAATTTATTCATTAAAGCTTTCCGTTCAACTGCTCTTAAAGCTTTTAATTCTAATAATTTGGTATTTTGTACACTACTTGGTATAAGTTTACCTTCTTTGATTGCTTTCAATTTCAACACTGGACAATTACGACCACGATGATAATGTAGATTACTTGGAGAAGTATACCGTTGTCCACAATCATCACAACAATATGGTTTTTGACTTGGTTCATAATGAGATTTATAATGTCCTGTTAATGAATAACGATTAGCAAATAATCTTTTACATATACGACATTTATATAAACCATCACTTGTTCGAAGACTTGTATCCATAGCTTCAGATTTTCCAGTAGACAAATCAGAAAGATTTGAAGATCTCAAGTCTAATTGTAATGAAGTTTTATTGTTAGGTGAAAAATTATACTTTAATTTCATATGATCAACTTCACCAAAGTTGGATGCTTCATTTGAATCAAGAGGATAAGATATAGCTCTTTGTAATGAAGGCGATTGAGAAATATTTGAAATGCAACAGTTATCCTCTTTTGAATTGATATTTACTGGAGATTTTCTGTACAATGATGAAGAATGTAGTGAAGTAAAGGCTGTATAAAGAAAATAATAAAGTCATAATTAAGTGGAAGTATAAATATAAACTACAATATGCTTATACACATAGTTCCCTTTATTATTTTAAAGAGAGCAAGAATAAAGATTGGTGCAGAATAATATGAATTCATTTTATTTTGTTAGGCTCTCATCAGCTGCTTACAACCTAAAATATTTGAAAATCAAAGTTATTACAGTTATTGACATATTTATACATAAGAGGGTGATTAAGGATTAATATATGTTTCATGATGTAGCGAGGATTCTGAAAGAGTTAATGAGGTCATAAATATTTTGTTTCGAGAAGCGAGGGAAGGTTCCAAAACATTGAAGTAGTGATTGGAACTCATGGAACTAAAAAACACATTAGATGATTACATAATGAAGTAACTGAAAACAGATTAATGGTAATAAAGAAAGGTATGAATTGAAATTAGTCCGTTATGAATGATGTAATTTTGAAATCCAGAAAAGGTTGAAATAGTGAATGACGTAATAAATAAAAAAGGGGGGTAGTTTTACCAGGGTTTTACTATTTTGTATATATATAGATGTATGTATAATCCAGTTATGCTGCGAAATTTTCATGTTATCCATGATACTATCCAACTAATGACAACATCTTCATCAACAAATACTGTCGAAAATATTTAAAAAAACTACTGAATTATAAATATTACACATAGTGAATCAAGAAAGGTGTACCTAACATACTACTCAGAGGTTTGATTTTAAAAAGATTGAATAGTCGATAATAATGAAACTAAAAGAAAAACAAAGTTGATATGATGACTTTTGAGTGTCTTATCGATTTGCCGTGGTATATCAGATGATGTTGTAGAATTTCCCAATAGGATCGCTAATTAGGTGTATAGAGTGAAGTTCCGAATTACATTATTGATCTATTATAAATGTATTCAAAGTATATTTTAGTATCATATTCTGAAAAAAACATAAGGTCATTTCATCTATTTCATCTCATAGTCAAGGATACTGTCAAGAAAACACTTTGAATGTTAAGTACAATTTGGTTATATTCAGATCATAATCTCTTGACTATAAAGGTTTAATTTAAATATCAGATTTCGATGGGATTTAGGTCTTTTCAATGCTTCATATACTCTATGTAAATAAATCACCATACAAATGATAGTTAAGTAGTATGGTGAAACATATTTAATTTTGCCATCTACGTATAACTTAGAGTACACTATTTGAGGTTTGTCTGGTATTGAATAGCAATGAAATTTAGGACGTGTATTTCATTTTTTTTAAAAATAAAAAGTGGTTAATTAGGTATGTGAATTCTCTCAAAGATAAAAATATTAGGACTCCATTAACCAGATTATTAGGTAAGGATATTTCAAACAAGTTCTAACAAATATTTCTTTAGTTACCGAATGTCAAAATGGGAATTCTCAAAATATTTCTTTCCTTTGTTTGCCTGAACTACTGATCAAAATATCGTAATGATGTTACTTCTAATAACATACTAACATCATCTAGAGAATTAGTGGAAAATCAAAGAGTACTGAACGTCTGTTTTGTTGAAACCTGGGTCTTCTTTTTAGTGAACATACATGACTCCACAGGTGACTGAAACTTATAAACTCGAGTCTCAGGACTTGTGGTGCCAGCAGTATCCAACCAACAACATCAATTAATGGTAAACCATATTATAAATTGACTATAATTTAAAGATGCATATCATTCAGTGATTGGACAATAAGGTGTTCAGCATGATATCTGAATGTCCTTAGCACGAATCTATATGGGGTCATGAATACACTTTGCTGATTAGTCCTAAAATGTCTATGATACATGTGTATAGTGCTTTTGAATTAATATGGTTACATAGTTGATGTTACTTGATAATGAAAACTTTATTCACATAGAGCAGTTTTCAACTAATCGATTGCTTAAAATATTACCATCTTCACAAAACAAACATTAAAATTTAGCTTTAAGCTAATTAGAAATAAGGAAGTATGAATATTGTAAGCAGTATCAATACGACCACTATTTATAATTCTTTTTGGCAGGCTATTTCTCTAACTAAAGAATATATGCACGAATATTTTGTGTAGTGAAAAACAAACAATTCTGAATGTTTCAGTCATAAGACATACATTGGTTAGTAAACATATAAACATGGCGAGGTCAAATACTGCTCAAATGTTGTCTTAAACCATATATATGTTTATGTTTATACAAGTGTTCTTTGTATACCTTTCAGTAGTCTATCATATAACATCTCATTTCTCTATAATCAATAAGTTGATGGTGGTTGTAAATGTAACTTTAGTAAACAGTTAAATTAATGACGATTCTATCAGATGTAGACAATAGAAACAGTACACTGTATAACCATACAGTTTAAAAATAAACAATAAGTTTAATCAGTTTAGCTAGTTCATCGCTGTAAAAAAATAGACAATTTAACATAAGTATTAAAGACACAATGAAATCAGATAAATTGAATGAGAAAAGACCGATACAACACTAGAGTTAGGATAGATTGACCTAATAGTTAGGGTAATTTGTAATAAACCATTTCACTGGTACTCAGTATTAATAAAGTGTACCTTTAGAAGATAGCGTAAATTACAATAATCTCCATAGGAATTTGAATAATTTATCGAGCTATATTTTAAGGAATCACATTGTACTGAAAATATCCAGGGTAGTGAAGATTGTTGAATTTTATTGAAATCACGAACCGATCAATGTTAGACGGCCATTGGACACTTGGGAGCACTGAACGACCACTTCGTCTTAGTATAGGACTCCTCAGCAATGGGTTTCCACGATCCCCAGCGTGGGTCTCGAACCCAAGACCTTCGATCTCGTGTGCGAACAGTTAACCTCTAGACCATTGAACATTGTTCTTCTAGTAGCATTTTGTATGAATTATGTATCTCTTAACTGCTTTCATTAGCTTCGTCAATATTTGTTGGTAATATTCATTGTGAACAGACTTCAGTTAAATTGCCATTGGAAATCAGAGACCGCTCGTTATCTGTTACATACTAGAATGCAATTACTCACCAATACACACCCGCGACCACCTCATGGACCGAACCCAGGACTTTCAAGTCCTGTGACTCGCTCTTAACTCATAGACCATCCGGTTAGAATACAAAAGTACACATTTCCAACTCCAACCGATTGGCTATATAGCGTATCCTTCATCCTGTTTTACAGCCGATCACCTAAATTCCACGGGTCATAACTTCCCACAAAAACAAGAAATCATCTCAAAGTCAATAATAAGCACAAAACTATAGTTCTTTCTCATCCTAATTTAATTTTTAGATGGCATTAGTCAAGGAATGATTTCAGTTCGAATACAATATATATTTAGGCATTTTATATTCTATTGTTTCAGTAAAGTGTCAGAAAAAAACTGAATTTCCTTAGTATTCATAACTCACGTATTAGTTAATGGCCAAAGAAGGAAGAGAATATCTGAGCTAATAAACGAAGATGTGTTACACTATTCATATATCAAGATTGGATGAAATTCCCTCAAAGACTGTATGAATGGTCATATTAAGGAGCTTGTATTCCCACTTCTACTTCGGAACATAAATATTTGGGCTATGTTGTTTTCCAAAGTACAAAGTACTGAATTAGAATTCAAACAAAGTTAGTTTAGAGGTATGTTCACTAACAATGATATCTTAAATGGTAGTAAAAGTCAGGTAGCCAAAAATCCATTACATATAAGAATTTACGTGTTTTAATGTTAAGAAACGATGGAGTTTAGAATGAACTAACTGGTAAGCAGTCATCAATCAACGAAATCTATTTCAATAAAGTTGACTTCTTTCAAACTTCTTAACTGAATAATAGTTTATTTATCATTAGCGAAATGAATGAATAAACATCTTTTCAGATAATTTTAATAATTCATATCTATTTTTGCTTGAACGTACAACTGAGCCCTTTAGTCTTTAGACGAATGCAACAGTACTATATGTGTTCAATTTGAAATGGTTTGGATTATCTCACTTTTGATGTCTTGACTGAATTTTTATCAGTCTTGGTTGGCATATATACATCTTGTGCGAATTGCTTCGATGCTGTCATTATGACACAAATTTATGGAATGTGGCTAGCAGTGGAACCCAAGATGCGCATTTGTCCCATTTGAGACTCATCAGCTGGATGTACACGCATCCCATAGTTGATGTCCACTTAGGGACTCGGACCCGGTACCGTTCTCTACAAGAGATAGGGCGTTATTTACATGATTACTGAGTTCAGGTAGTCATTCCTTAGGCGATCTGCAAAGGATGGACATATGACGACCAAGATTAATCAAAACTGACCATTCAAGATATCCACTGTGGGATAATCCAATTCATTTCAAACTGAATTAAAACTCGTACCCATTGTAGAAATGAGTGGCTGCTTGGACTCAGTAGCTAGGCGGTTAAAATGGTGGTGTTCAGAGCGATCGGTACAGAAGTGGAGTTCTTGAATGAACGTAAAATCTGGGATGCAGGCACATCGATCTGGCGAATCTTAAATAGGGTGAAACGCGCGTTCTCTTTTTTCTACCAGCAACGTTCTATGAATTATATACTAAGATTTTTGTGTGGCTGTTAGGACTAGGTAAGTGACATCCACGTTTGTAACAATGAAACAGTTTAGTGGGCCAATAAAAAATATAATATCTTCATGAGAAGCAACAAAAGAACACCAAATTAAAAAGCCACGTCTAGTATATCAAGTAATTTATACAAGAACTAGTTAGTTTTCTCCAATACATTTACCTGATTCGTATTTTTCTTCTGTATTAAATTTCTTCAACGTTATTCGAGTTGTTAAAGATGATTTTGCTGCTGAAGAAGATGATGATGACGACGAGGAGGGAGAGGGGGATGGAGAGGGTGAGGGGCAAGTAGCAGATGCTAACCTTATATCATTCGTCAAATGTGTTTTATCTAACTGATCATTCTATAAATAGAAAGTGAAATAAAATTAACACGAATTATGGTATAACTAAAACAAATAGACATGCTAATAAACACAACATTAAAATTACCCAATATTGTGTGTATGGCTTTATGTGGGTGGATATATCTGGGCAAAACAAATAAACAAATGATAATAAAATGGAAATCTGTGTACATTGTAAATTAACTAAAACTAAGTTAGTGAATCACAAGACTTTGAATAGATCGATCAATGGGATTATGTATGCTACATGATTAGCAAATCCCGGGTTCAAACCAATCTGAAGTAGTGTTGTGATGTATGCTACTTATGTCCGTCGACATAAGTAGTATGTAACACCAATCAGAAATGGAATGCCTATCAAAAGAAGATTGAACTGAAGAAAACCGAAAGGGAAACATAAGAATTAAGAATTGAAAGAATCATATATTATGTAAAGGACAACTAATATAAGATGTGCAAATGAAGTATTTAATGTATAGTTGTTATAATTTAGGAATGCACTCAGTAATTTTGCTCTAAACGATAAGTTGTTCATCCCTCTTCCAAGTCTAACAGTGCATCAAATTGGTTTGTCATACATTCAACAACAAAGAAAAAATGATACAAAATTAACAAAATAGTAAATTTTATACAATATGTACTACTACTTACACATGTAGTTGTATACTTTATTATTCAGATAAAAGAAAACCATTTCACTCAGTTGGAATTAAAAAACGTTATTATTTATGGACTCATTAATGACTCTTTTTGAACATTATTATCAAGGTCTTAATGAGATTCTATGAACAATGCAACTCACTGATGTCAATAGCCAGACAGATGTAATCTTCTGCATTTGATAATGATAGTAAAAGATTGTAAATTGATTGTAATCAAAATTATTAACTTTTGCATTTTGACTTGATGATCTAAAATCATCGTGTTCATTAAAAACCCTAAATGGGTTAGGTTGAATCCATGGAGATGATGTGTTAGCACATTACTGATAAGTTCATAACTCTGAATAAACATTTGATTTTCAATGATGTTTCAGCATTTATCAATCCATGAAGAAAATCGTTTTCAAATCTACATTTATGAACCTTATAAACAGTCGTATAATGAATGTTAGTCAAACTATGGTTGGTTATCAATGATTTTCTAATCCAATGGTAAAAGCCTAAATTCTGATCACTTTGTTGATCAGATTCATAATAGATAAAAACTCAATTAAATTGTCAGGAAGATTTTTAACGTGATAAAATCTCACAACTAGGTTTCAAACTAGTTATGTGAATTATTCTGTGTAACTTTTACAAATGGTAACTTTGATATTAATCAAATTTAAATATTCATTTTCAGAAAATACTATAAACTGTGAATACGATTGAATCAGTGATAATAATTCCAACTAGTATTATGGTGTGTGCTACTGATGTCAACAGATATAAGTAGTATGTATCATCAATCGAAAGTAAAATGCCTGGAGGCAAAAGGTTAAGAGGATCGAAGAAAAGACAATGGGAACAGAGAGTGATAGATATGAAAACGAAAGGACAACCAAATCTAAGACAATTAGTTGACATTTTGCGAATAAAGTATTCACTGTATAGTCCTCACATTTTACCAAGACATTCTGTAATTTTATGTTAAAATACATTTGGTTATCCCCAGTTGTGTTCTCATTCACTACAGTATCTTTCCTTTTGGACTGAATTTATTTTAGAAACTTTAGTCCGGTAATCTATAATTAACGACTTTGACATTTTATTAAGGTATCGATGTATTCATTTACCATAGTCAATGTAAACTTTTGGTTTACTTATCTCAGGCATTCTGTTAGCTTAATATTAAAAAAAATTCTTGAATGATTTAACTATTTCACGAGTTGTATCATATAGGCTTGCTAACGTAAGCTTGTTAGTTATTAACAAACTTTTTTTTTCTTTCAATATATTCACTTTATAATAAGTTCTTCTGAAATGTATAAAAACAGAATAGAGCATTTGTCAAAAGAGAAGTAAGTTTGATTATAATCAGAGAGGGGTTTTGTGGAGATTATCATAATCTAATAATTGAATTCATGAGTCAATCGAAGTTAGAACATCATGGAAAACCTGGAAGCACTGGATGGCCGTTTTATCCTGGTATAGAACTCCTCAGTAGTGCGCATCCACGATCCAGCCGGCTCAGTGATCTCAAGACTAAGCGTTCGCTCGTGATACTAATAGATCCTGGGTTCGAATCTTGTGGGGTGGGATCGTGGATGCGCACTACTGGGAAATCCCATACTAGGATGAAACGGCTTTTCAGTGCTTCCAGATAGTCTAGCTTCAACTGACTCATGAGTTCAATTATTAAGTTGACTTTGAGTTGCATATATTAATAAAAGGTGATCAAAATATCATCATTATTTTCATTTACATGTAACGTATTACTTATTATTATTGATTAACATACTATTCAATAAGAGGTTTAGATATTAGTGATTATTTTTAATTCTTTTAAAAACTTTACTCCTTTAGCTCATAATCGGATTAAATCAACCATACTCTTTGAATAAGATGATCTATCCAATTCTTTGATTTATTTTCGGCTGAAGATGTCAGTTTTAAAAAATTTTTCGTAATACAACACCGTAGAAATCGATAAGGAGTACGCAAATCTTTCGCATAGTAATTGATAAATATATTTTAATATAATTAGAAAAACAAAAGAAAAAAGAAAAGAAAGAAATATCAAATCAATATACAATGAAAGCTGATTTCATTGTTATGTCATATATAATTGGTGCAAAAGAATATTTGATAATTAATATTTTGTATTAAAGAAAGAAAGGTACATTAAAATGTAGAACAATTGATGAGTAAACGTATGAACTGATAAGAAAAGTTTTAAATGATTATCATATTATAAATATATTATGACTAGACAATGTAGACAGAAATATGCAATTTACAATTGAATAAGAATACTTTTGGACAAGATAATTTAATGATACAAATATTGTTTTTAATAGTTGAGATCATGAGTCAATTGAAGTTAGACCATCATGGAAAACCTAGAAGCATTGGACGGTCGTTTCGTCCTACTGTGAGACTCCTCAGCAGTGCGCATTCACGATCCCACAAATTAAAGGGATTTAAAATACTATGAAATTTTAGAAGGATTCAAGTTATTTTGAAAATTTAATGTATATCATCTTTTAAAAGAGATGGGAAAAGTATTTCAAGAAATTCAATATTAGGTACTGAGTAAAAGAACTATTCTTTTTGATATTGTTGTGATTTTATGGCCAGGCGTTTTATCACGTGATTTATCCACCAATCGAAATACGACTTATACAATCTTTGCAGTGTGCTCAACCAATGACGGTCGACCGGTACGAGCAGCCTAGCGTCCTTATTGGTCCAATGTTCGCCTAGCTCGTCTACTTGAGTCCAGAACACCAATATCAGCTTCCACTATGAGAATAATTTATTTCATACATACTTGGTTTCTATACCAACCAGAGAGACAGCATCATACCATAAGGTAGGAAATAACATTTATACAAGATCAGGCCAAATGTGGATGTGAACGTGGGAGACAGTAATTAATAAACTGAGTATAATTTAAGAACAGCAAATCGTATAATAATAAATTCTAGGTCAAAATGAAGCTTATAATAAGAGAAATATAAATAAACATAGTCTAATTACTGAATAGTTATACCATAAGAATATATAGATAATATTAATCCATTAATAGGTCTCAGAAGTTACTCGTAATTTAATCTTCACTAGGATATAACAGATATCAATAATTATGTTCCAGGATTTCATTAATTAGTAAGAAACTATATGAATTAATGCAATGAATCGGATCTATTTAAATTTCATTTAATGGAAGGCAATAGTTTATCTTTATTGGAGTAAATTACTCTTTATTAATATCTTTCTCAGATAAAATGTTTATTTCTTAGGTGATTTAAAACAATAATTATCATGGTTATTTATGAACAGTACTTATTAGATAACATACTCCTAATATTGAGTTCGGATTCAGTAATCCACTGATTGAATCAAAGAATGTAGTATCACTAAATTCATTATTTGGTGAACATCTGGCAGACTTTCTTTTATAATAAATTTGGATAACTCTATACATCTGAACTGTTCAAATGTTTAGGACACATCTAATGTAACGTAATTTAAATCATTTTCCTATTTTAACTGTATATTCAAATTGTTTTACTCAACTGTTTAAAGGAATCTTCAATCTTTTTATATACAATTCGAGTTATTCAATAATAAAAACATTATGACTGTGTATACTGTACAGCCAAGTTAAAAAAAGATTAGTTTTAATAAACGTAACATACATTTAAAAGAGTTATAGTGAACCAGAACACAAGTAATGACAATCCGATGTATTTGAACACAAAATTATAGAATATTTTAGTAAACTCTGAGAACTATACAGTACATAATTCATTTGCAAAATGTCATTCAGTTGTTTCAGATTTCATTGGTCTTTTATTTCCACACCAATCATTTTTTTTGTTATTGTTCTATTTCTTTGACCTTCTTAATTTTCTGCCTCCAGGCATTTCACTTTCGATTGATGATGATACATACTACTTATATTTGTCGACATCAGTAGTACACACTACGGAATGACAACATTTAATGCAGCTTATGAACATGAGTACCAATAAAATAATTGGAAGTTAGTTTTTAATATTAAAGAAAAATTATAGTTAATTAAAAGAAATATATAATTGTCATTTTTTAAGGTGTAATGTTAACGTTAACAAAAAAAACAGAATTACCTAGAAACTATTTATATTATAATCTGTGATATTACTGTGATGATATCATAAATGAGAAAAAAACCCATTTTAACCAATACTTATATCCATTTAAGTTCGAATGATTACATAATACTTAGTTGAATGATCTTGACACCTAGTCAGCTTTAAGCTAGAGAAAAATAACTGTTCAATATCTCTTGGGTTTCAGCGGTTTTCTTTTCTTTCATAGCTGATATACATTGATCCATGATGAAAATGATCTTTAAATAGTTATTTTATGTATAATTAGGTAATAAAAAAAGTACCACCTAATAAATTAACTATTATTCAGGTATGTTATTCAATGATAAAAGCTTCCATTATTCAAATGATCTATTCATTCACTCATTTATATAGATACACGTTTAAATGGAACATTAAAGTGAAAGGATAACAAATAAATGTGTGACATTGGAAAATAGTGACTGACATTCATGTTATAAATTAAATGAACAAAAAACACGAAACATTGAATACTAGATAATAAAGTGATATACGTTAGTTTGATTGAAAAGTTACATAAAAAGTAAGTTGTAAATGATATTTAATAATGATTAAACTTTGTACAAAATAAGTAGTTAATGACTGAATCTTATTGAATACATAGATTTTAATTGAATTATCTGTTTTGATTCAATTCAACAATATGTACATAATTTTAAAGTGGTTACGATTACTCCTCCTGGAGTCCCTCTGGAGCTACTGCCGGTCCAAAGCCCGGATAAAAGAGAGGGGTTGAGTATGGGGTTAGCGACCCCATCCCGTAGAAAACTAACTCGCTAAAAAAGGCTAATCAGAAAAAATAATTCAAAAACGATTATGATTACCAAATAATTAAACATAACTGTATTCAGAAGGTAAAATGTGATGAGAAGAATCCATTCCATCATGTATAAATGTTTATAGCAGCATTTTGTATGTTGTTTAAATTAAAACTGATTGATCACTGGGTGGTGATCAATGTAATCTGTGTCAAGTCCTTATTAGTGCAGATCGAATGCTATCGACTAGGTTGCAATGTGACCACCAGTCAAGGTGACTCGACACGGCGTGAACTATGCTGAGATTAAGTGCTGGTTGGAGGTAGTCGACAGGAAACCCGGGTCCAGGATTTCTTGTCGACTACCTCCAACCACCATCTAGTTGTTTAAATTCCTACACCAATTATTTAAGTTTCAGTCAATGCCGACAGTTTTTACTTACTCTAGTTAAATTGTAATTAAAATTAGCTGCTTTCTTGAATCGAAAAAAAGAGCTTAGTTTTATTTATTCGATTCTATCTGATTTGATTACAATATGTTTATATGATCTTTTCATTAAAACTAATAATACTGTCACAATATACGAATATAAATGATACAAATAGACTATAGGAATTCTCCAATACAAACTCATAATCATTACAATTTATATTCTTAGTTATTTTTTAAATTCCAGTGGTAAAGTCTATCACTTATTTATCAGTTATCCAGTTATTTAAGTTCCCTTTTTCTTTGAAGACTATTAAATACAATAGTGAATACGATAGACATATAATAAACGATAACAAAGAATGGGATACTAACTAAAAAAACATACAGTTATACATATATATTTAAAGGTTATCATCAATACATAATGATAAACATAAATACTAAAGAAGCTAAGAAATTTCGATATATTGAGTTTATATGAATGAGTTTTATTGATACCATTGTTACAACCATTCAATATAAATGGTTAGAAATCAATAGAAAGTTGTTAAGACGACAAATGTTATCACCCATATATATATATGCTGTATATATGTACTTTAACCGAACGAAAACAACATTGAACCATAGTTACAATTAAATAATTAATAAATTTCCGTCAAAATATAAATAACCAATTATTAGTTTAAATATATATGTTAAAAACAATAAAAAAAAGAACGAAAAGAAAACGATCAACTCACCTTAACATTGTGTAATGGTGAATGTGTATTTGTTGATTTCTTTACTGCATCTAATGAGATAATACGAAGTTTGAGACCACCTTGATTAGATGAAGGAGAAAAATTTATAAAAAAAAAAAGAAAAGCATACGAGACAAAAATAACCTACTTACACAACTACACTATGATGAATAAAGTCATAGGAAGTTTGATGATGTTATCAAATTATTTTTTATTCGAATATACCTAACAACTAAGTACATATTCAAACATTACAGTTGAAATAGTTTAATAGTTCTAATTAGTTGTTTAGATATAGTTTAATAAGACAGAATTTAAATTCGACTTTAAAGGTATTTATTATCATTACTAAGATACATTTATACTAGAGATTTAAACAGAGGATTTTGTAAGTAAGATTTATCTATTTTATGATAGATGTCAAATTATAGTTTGATGATTATCATCAGCAAGAATGTATGAACCGATATACAAATACACGTTAAGCCTTAGATTGACTATTTCATATTAAGTGATTTGGTTTAAAACAGATTGGAATGAACGTTTTTTCGCATTATTATTATTATTTGACATAGAATAGTATTCATCATCAAACTAAGGCCCATGGCTATATCGGTATTATTTATGAAGTATTATGAAACACTAGAAACCTAACTACTTAATTCAAGACGTAACATGAAAAAAAAGTTGAAAATGATTTCTTTTCCACATAATGTTTGATCGATTGGACTTAAATTCTGAAAATGAAACGTCGCTGAAAATGATGTCTTGCTCGATTTTAATAACTGTGATCATTCTAGAACATCAATAAGATGAAAAATATCTAGTTAATTTAATTCAATGTGTATGTTATTTATAATTTCAAGAAAAGTTAGTACAGAAGGGGTTTTTTGGAGATTTTAGTAATTTCAATAATTGAAATCATGAGTCAATTGAAGCTAGACTACTATGGAAAACCTGGAAGCACTGGATGGCCGTTTCGTCTTATTGTGGCACTCCAGGGACCTAAGACCTATCAGTCTTGACCTGCGTTCGAATCTCGCGAGGCGGGTTCGTGGATTCATACTGTTAAGAAGTTTCATTATAGGACGAAACGGCCGTCCAGTGCTTCCAGGTTTTCCATAATGGTCTAGTTTCAATTTACTCATGATCTCAAACATTGAAAACAATTGATGTTCATCAGGTTATTTATTTGATAAAGATGAACTTGAAGTTCCAAAATCATAACTTGTTGAGTCAACTCATTTTGAAGTTAAATAGTAGTTCAATAATGATTTAACATAGATCTATTGAAGTTGAGAAACACATTGAATTTATCATTTTTGTCACAATCTTTGTAGATCGTTATTTTTGATTCCATGTATGTGATGCTAAGATGTATCAATATAAAATCAAAACACAACTGTATCTTTGTAGCCTGTGTATCAACTCATGACTTTTTTCAATGACTATCAATTTACGATAAATTTTATCGCTAATAAAACTTAATGATAACAATAATAATAATTCCGTATTATGTAATGTTGTTATGTCGAATACATGCTCCAGTTTATTCTTTTGTATTTTGTTTCATTTAAAATAAACAAACAAACAAGAAAAACACTCTAGAAGGATAAAACTTCAACCAGTATGATATGTACAATATTCAATATGGTAACAAATAGAAAGTACATTTAAAAAAGTTAGCAATACAATAAACATCGTACTATGAATAAACTATAAGTAATAACATTGTATAATTTATGTAATATGGTATATATAAAAAATAACAAATAAACATATATACAAAAAAATATATTGATTTTTGATTTCTCTGTAAACAACCTAATAAGCTACTAAACATTGAATATGATAGATAAGTAACATCATTCGACTTTGTTTATTTCATATCAACGAGAATTCATTTTAAGAATTCTTCTATTCAGAATATGGTTTAATGTGTGAGTGTGTGTGTGTTTCAAAACTACTTTTTCTTTTCTTTTATACTGTTCATTTTTGTAAACTATTTCACTACTGTAATAATCAGTTTATCATTATCAATATCATCACCAATACATCACCATCATCATGATTATTATCAACATAATTAGTGTTAGAACAATTATGATTTAATGGACAAGTACAGAGTATTGTCAGTTAGTTTTCTGTTATTTTTCTCTTCTTTAAATAAAAGATAATGTATTTACTATATGAGATTTGATTATTGACACAGTTATGAATCTAAATAGAAAAATGGAAACTTCTCAAATAGAAACTTTTATGCATCTAGTAATGTGTGTATACGCAATTGTGTGTGTGTGTGTAGGTGTGTGCATTTACGAGTAACCATGTGGAAGTAAACAGAAGAAAATGAATTCCGTATTACTGTAATAACAAAAATACACGTTCATTCTCGAATATATAAAAAAAAGTAATTGATTCATAAGTAGAAAGATTCACTTAATCAAGTATAAGTAAATTTCATACAGTTCCTAGTATTAGTTAAATGAAATAGAGAATTTAAAGTAAACATGACCTCTTCAGTGTAAATAAGCTGTATACAGTTCGAGAAAAATCACAGAGTTACTTGGTAAAATAGAAAAACCATACTATAATACTTAATTTGCAAAATGTTCAATAATTGTCTCGAACTTCATTGTTCCTTCATGTCCATACTAATTGCTTTCTATTCCCGCTCTTCCTTTCTTGATCTTCCCCATCTTGTGCCGCCAGACATTACATTCCTGACTCGCGTTATATACTATTTATATCAATATAAGTAGCACGTATCACAATATAATTTACCTTAATTAGAAGTAGAAAGCATTTTAGTGCATGTTTTTCTTATTTGAATTTAACCACGAATATGATTTGCGTTTAACTTTATTAATATTCGAGTAATAAATGCTTGGGTTTTTTCAACTAAATAAAATACACAAGGATTTATAACACAATATGTGCCGAAAAAAACACACATGGTTTTAGTATGAAATTAAAGAGAATATTACATTAAACACATTAGACTTTTAGTATAGGATAGAATCCTACAGAAATGATCAGTTCTTTTAGGATAGAAGATACACTTTGATAACAAATCAGTATAAGACATAAGTTCGAAACCTCCTATATGTCACCTCTAGAACATATGATATAAAATCTATTGATGATTATTACGTTAATGTTTATGAAAACTGGTAAAATTTCACTTTTCAAACATAAATAAATGATTTTTCTAAAAAAAAACGCTTGAGTATCTTTAAATAGGCCTTCATATTGTTCGTTACATGTTACTTAATTGTTATTTTTAACCGATCAAGATTGATGAAAAACTCTGTTCAAACTTAACAGCTTTATAAAATTTAACAGGTTCACATTACTAATAGTCAGAAAATGTATGTTTGCTTTCTAGAAAAACAGAAAAGATTCTATAATTATTTTCCATCACATGAATTGACATATCAAATGTTAAGAGACTTGTGTAAGAGTATCATGTCAAAATTTATCGATCGAAAGTTACAAGACCACTGCAAAGATCTGAGCGCTCTAGGTCTGATCCATGGTGAGCGCAACTGTTGAGTTCCTTACTAGTACGAAATAGATATCTAATGCCTTCTGGTTTTCAATGGTTGATCCATGATGCAAATCTACGATTTGGATGAGTTTCTGCATCTTGATAAGCATCAAGAAACTGGTCACCTCTAAAACCAGTTTGCTGACAGATACATTTTGTTCAGCGCAGTAAAAATACATTAAAATTTATAAATCGTTGATGTAATGTCACACTGTCAGTATTGTATTCCTTTCAGTGTCCAGTTTGTTTTGCTACAACTAACAACATGGAAAAATATAATCATTTCCTATCGACTGGCAAATATGTAAATATTTCTTGTTAACAATAGTTAAATAAAAACCTTTTATTATGTGGTGATTTGACGACAATAATAATGACATTAGTTGAATAAAGGTGCAAGTCTTTAATGAGGCTCTTCATCTCGACGTCGATTCGATTGGATGATGTTGTCGACGAACTCACCACTTAAGTGTGGCCCTATATCTGACTCCAATTAGATCATATGATTGATTGCTATTGAAATATACGTCCTGACTATTCTCGTATATAATTATCGACTTAAATCGCTTTAGTCAATAACGGAATTAAGTAAGTCAAATACGAGAATGGATTTTCGAATACGTTTACTTTGTACACTCGTTGATCTGGACAGGCACTCATAGGGACGAAGCGAAATGATGCGCAGTGGAGAAGGCGTGTGAGTCAACTCTATTTAATCAAGCGTTAATCACTATTTATAGTCCGACATGTGGTGAGTAGGATAAGATGTGCACACACATACGCTCATATAAAAACAGTGAAGGTTGATGAGTCAATAACTAAAAAGGTCAAAATATGACTCATGAAGAATGGATAAATTGGCCTATCCAGAATCTAGAATAAATTATATGGGCTTAACATAGTAACCGACAGTAGAACTATACATCAATCGCTTCATTTGCAAATCTTCTATCAGTTGTCCTTCACATTTTGCACGATTCCTCCAGTTCATAATTCATTTCTATTGTCTTATCTGTTTTTTTTCAACTCGATCTTCTTAGCCTTCTGTTGCCAGGTTTTCCACTTCCGACTGGTGTTACATGCTATTTATGTCTGTCGATATAAGTAGCATACATCACAGTATTACTGCAACAATATACTATTTATTGTATCTACACTTCTGAGTCTTTTTGTTTGGGTGACCTTTTGAAGGTTAGTCAACCGTCAATTACAAATAAACTGAAAGTCAGATACACTACAGTTGGAAAAAGATGAAGATGTTACTAAAAATTTGTACTTTAGCAGATAAGTTTCAACTTCTGTCTTGAATTTATGCTAAAATAATATTTTTTGTGGTATTAATAGTCTGGTAATCAAGTGAATATTAGTGAAATTTAACATTGTGAAAAACATTTAGTTAATTTTAAGTAAATAGGTTAGTAATTAGATAGCAACAGTAAGACGAATTTCAAGTTGCTTCACTGAGTGGTACGACCCAATAGTTTTATCTTTAAGGACAACTGTTTAGAATGCATAGTTGTGTAACGTTTA